GGAGTGTATATCAGATATTGACAAGGATGTTGACAGTATGAAACCCACAGAACTCCCCTTTCTAATAACCTCCATGACTATCTTAGTTATTTCAAGGAAATCTGAGGTCGTATCACAGTCTATGGCAATTACAAAAATATATTTCTTCCTTCTCAGTGCTGGAAACCTGATACCACCACTAATTTGGTCTGCTTCCTCTGTGGAACCAGCCTTTTCCACACCACCTATAGCACCCTTAGCTAACTTTGAAACTGCATTCTCTAGGATGCTCCTTTGGTCAGAAGAGTTTTCTTCAATATCCAAAGCATTTTCAAGAGTTCCAGCCCCTTCATTCTTCTCACTGTCCAGTGAAAACTTCAAATTTAATGATAAATCTTGTATGTCTCGCAAGGAATCACCAGGTGAATCCGATTCTGAATTTTCAAATCCAACATCACTTCTCTTCCACTGAGGTTGCCTTGGCTTGCAAGTGGCTATCCGAGACAAGTATGTCTTACAGTGCTCTGGCCATGAGAATAGGTGAATATTTTTCAATCCATTCTGCCTGCATCTTGCCCACAGTTGCTTGTCTGAAACAAGTTTGAGAAGAGCATCAGCAATAGACTGCTGATCATGGGGGTCAACTAGTAGGCCATTGTCAAGGACCTGCAATAAATTCATGGTGTCAGTGTGTAAACTAGCATGAGACTTCAACTAGCTGCAGATGAGAAAATCCTTAAACAACAAGGTGGTCCGGGTCACGGACACGTACCCTATGAATGTCAACAGGACCCCCATTTTTTGTGGCGACAATAGGCAAACCATGTGCTGCAGCCTGTTCATGAAACAACCAATTTTCAATTCACTAGAATTTTAAACTATCAAAACAAACGCACAGCAGATTTGGATGAGCACCTCAATTAAAGTAAGACCAAATGGCTCAATGAAAGCTGGATTTATGAAAACCCCCTATAAAAGCAAGAAACACAATTGAAATAAGAAGTCAAAAACGAGGATTAAGAAGCCTAAAACTTGGCCATTATTTCTTATGGAAAAACAGTCGAAACCAAGTTTACCTTTGTTTTTGCTGCAAGACGGTAAATGTCAGGAACGTCAGACTGCTTGTGGTGCTTAGGATATGCCACATGGCCATAGAGATCATATTTGTCTATCAGCTTAAGTATTGAGAGAAGAACAGCTGCATTTGTGCTAGACATTTCATCAATATCATCACGGTTTCCCATTATTAATGTCTGCAACAAAGGTAAAGTGAAATTAAGAGAGTGGAAATGCAATTTTAATGAATCAGCAAAATCAAATTTTACTAGGCGACAGCAGTCCATGGAAATAGGCATACAAGATTAGCAAGCTCTCGTAATGGACGGCATTCTCCAAATGCTTTGACTAAAGTTGTAAGATTCTTTTTTGGATCTGGCCGGGCTAAAGCTAGTATCATAGGTTTCCGTGGATTGGAAAAAAAGCGCATTATCTGCAAATTCCAGGTGACAAGGTTAGTATTATCATCTGATCATCAATCAGTTGACAACCTATTTCTAACCTATTATCAGAAGTACAGCAATAAATAATTAGGGCTAGGAAAAGTATAGGTAGTAAGGATAACACACACCAAAGTTTCAAGAAAAAAGAATAGTTATAACCTCAGACCAAATTGGTGGATCAGGAGAAGAGGGATTATCATCATTTTTTTCTGGATCACCATCCATATCTCCATCATGCGGAACAATATGATGAAACTCCATTCCGGGAGGAATCACCTGGATAACATCTTAAAACTTTACAATGGACAAAGCAGAAGAGTAAATGAAAAGGAGATACAGGAAAATTATAGGCATTAAGCAAACAAAATAAAATTTACTTGCAACCACAAAATAAGCCTCATAACTCAAATTAAACACACAGAAATAACATGTGATACTTACAACCATGCGAGGCATAAACCTCCCAAGACAGTTGACACCCCTTTTGATCCTTGCTCTCAATTTGCGCTCTAATACCAGATCAAAGCCATCATAAAGGCGCCATTGCTCTTCTATTTCCTGTTTAGTGCTAGTTATAACAATTTCGGACGAATCAAGACATAACTCCTCAGCCTCTACCCGCCGCATTATTTTGTAAGTAGAATTGATTTCCTCCCTTGATTGACGTCCTTGTTTCAAAAGCTGTTCAAGCTTATCACGTCCAAGTGAATGACCAGTAAAAAGCATTGGCACATTGAGTGCCCCAGATAGAAGAGCAGCAGAGTCACCAGCATCAGCATAGTGTCCATGAATGGCAACAGGCCACACTGGTTGCCCACCACCAATTTGCTCACCCAGAACTTTGGACATCTGTATAATGTGGCTAAGTGCACCATCAACAAATTCAGGAATATGTGGCCAAAGTAGTTCTTTAGGTACATATTTATCTTTTGGGCCAAAGGGTATACGGATTATATAAGCACCACTGCTCTCACCATGCTCCCGCATTGAGTCCTCTGCAGTCCTTGGATTTAGCATCTCTGTTGGTTCAGCATAACTCCAGTCTACATCTGGAGCTGAGACTTGCCTTGTCAGCAAATCAACCCGATAAACTCCAGGCATATTGCCCAAGGCCCTGGCAAGTTCCACCACATACTTAACCTGTTTAAAACAACATTCCCTATAACAAGGCAGTTTATACTCTTCCCTCTTGATGACTATAAAAATGACCACCTAGATCAAAAACCAATTTGGCAAGCCAAATAAAATTGGAAAAGGTTACCTGGCCACCAGTATCAGAGTCACGACCAAGCTCCATGTTTTCACCCCTTATAAGGCCATGAAGGCTGCAAGAACACTGCTAGTCAGAAAGAAACTAATTTCCATCACATGAGAAATCATGTGCTGCATAATTTCAAACATCCAAATCAAAA